GAGAGCTGGGACTCCCTCTTGAGCAAGGAAGGAGGTTGGATCCAGATGCTCACATTTGCCAAGGCAAACTCCGGAGTAAAATTGTGGCTCAGGCTGAGAGTCCATTACCTGAATCTTATCGTCATTGCACTGTAGTACCTGAACATCTGCTAAATGCTCTGTGTTGTTTGTCAACTGAAACAGTATTAAAACTGAAGGGAATCACAGAAAAATTGTTTTTCAATAGCCATTTGTAACGGCGTGGAATTCCCAGAGACAAAATTTAAATTTTCTCCAGAAAACCCCTGATATTTTATCTCCTCCTTCTTTTTTTCTGATATAATTTCACGCAACTCTAACAGCGTCATGCAAGCTTGGGCTTCAAACTCATCCAAATAAATGAGCTTTTTTTTTTACATTCATTTATTGACTACTTCAAATGTAAGCTCATGAACTGCACTTAACAACAGCCTTGGCTAAACAGGCAGGAAGAGTTGGCATTGAACAAGTAGCACAATGTGTCTCTCATATCCTTTTAGTGTGAAACTACAATCAGTCTTGTTGAGCCATTGAAAGAGTCCTAATAAGGAGGCAATGTTGCATCATCAAAACAAATTTTGATTAGTTTTTCCATAAGAGGACACTACCCCTGAACTTACTAAAATACTTAATTGGGAGTCCACGTTTTTCTTCTGTCACATATCAGCATCACCGCAAAATGCATTTGCATAATCCCTCACAAGAGGTCTGGCATGGATCGAGCAAATAATGAGCAGCTGCCTGCTCTCCAGATTTTTTGACCATTCAGCCGAATTGGAGTCAACTGCACCTTTCCAAGAGGTGCATTAAATAGATAGGAGATGAGGTTGAGCATTTTAGACAAAAAAGTCGAAAAAAAAAGTTTTCTTTTTAGTACAAGCATTTCATGTGATCCAGTTAAACTTAACATAGAAAATGGACCTGAAATGAGCCAAAATGCATGTTTTCAATAATTATTATCAGGTTGATCCATTGATTATTTTAAAAAATTTAATGAAATCAAAAATGTATATATACAACACCTACAGCCAAGACAGAAGCGAGTCATTGTTAAAATTCCTCAGTGATGTCCACTCTGCACCATCAGCCTCAGAGCTAAGCCTGAAGAATACCAACCAGCTGTCAGCCCCAGACTCGCCACGCTATCTAGCTTATTCTTGCCCTGTTTCACTTTTTCTCACTCTTTCAGTTTGCTGTCTCTTGTTGACAGAAAACAAGTGCTGCATCACCATTTTAATTCTGGCGTGGGTGCAGGTTGTCTCTCTCTCTCTCTCTCTCTCTCTCTCTCTGTTTCTCACTAAAGATGCATGGAGCAAGCAGTGAGGGGTGAAGAATCAGGGGCATGAATCTTAATGACTTCTTGCAGAAGAAAGTAAGAAGAAGAGCTCTATCGAGAATCCACTCTTAATCTTCCGTCCTCCCCCTTGGTTTGTATTTCTTTCACCCATGGACCCATGCTTACAGCTTGTACATGTTTACAGGATTTGTCTCCCCTTTGATTCTGAAATATTAGCTGTCAATTGACAACCATGGATCTGAACGCTGCTGTTTTAACAATACAGAACAGGAAAGACTCAAACTGGAGCATGGTTTAACATATACCAATGATTTTAGCTTGCAAAATGATCATAAAGATCTTTTTTGCAAAATGGTACTGAGATGGAAGCTTGTGCACACATCAGTTAGCCATGTAATGAACTCCATGTTCTATATGCACTGAAACACGTAGTACTGAAAAATAAAAAACAGCTTTACATTAAATTAATTGAATTTATATGACACAAACATGTTGGCACTTTTTTTGAATTAGCCCTTTATTTCCAGCACCGAGTTTCAGCCAGAACAAGACAGATGCCTGCACCACTACCAGCACATTTCCACAAACTAAACAAAGGAAAGACACTGGAGCTGTCAAATGGGTCAAAGATAGACCAAAAAAATAATAATAGGAAATAAAACTGTGCCATAAGATTCCACAATAAGAAGATTAACTTGACAAGTGAGGGTGCCAGAATTGGGTATACGAGGGGAATCCAGCACAGGCTTAATCCTTCCAGGGATGGGTCATGGCTCACTACTCAGGCCCAAAATCTGTTGTGTGCTGAGAATGGCCCACATTTAAGCGATCTCAGACAGCTATGTGTCACGAAGAGATGCACAAATCAGAGTATGTGGTGGTATCTCGGTGTAGTAGTGCCTCGCCTTGTCGTGGTTCACTTTTCGCAGTCTCACTGTATTGTACATTTTTAAAACGTGTATGACAAATTATGTATAATGGGTTTTTCACTTTATCACAGCCTTTTGCAGTACATACTGTACGAATATAAGTATAATTTTAATCATTTTTTAAGAAAAATTAGCATTTTATAGCCAAAAAAATAACACTTTAAAAGTTATGAACAACATATAAAGTAATAACAACACCGTAGCATCAGTGCCCTACGTCTCCTAGCATTTGTTATGCGCTCAGCATCTCACTTTCCCTGATTGTTGAGCATAGTGCTGCTCTGGGGTCTTGTGTTTTGTTGAAGGCTAATAACATTGTTTTGAAATTAGAATGTGAGGAAGCTTTACAATGCTATAGATATGTATAAATTGTTAATGTCACAGGTTGAGCTTGTTGCTGGCATTAAATTTAAGTAGTTTATAAAAATACATATTTTATTAGTGCAAATAAATCAGTAAGTGGAGATAATGAAAATAGTTTATCTGAATTGTGTCTGTTAACCATAGGTTTGAATGATTCAACAAGTTACAGATTTGAGCTAATGCATTGAAAGAATTACAATCTTTAAAAGTTTTAAACCATGGCCCAGATGGTATATCACTTCCTAACTTGAGAATTCAAGCTCAAACACTGAGTGCGTCAATATCAAACATTCTATAAACTGGAAGAGTTTATGGAATATTGTGTTACATTTACATACCACCCATGTGAACACTGTAAATCTATGCGTGGAACCAATGGGACCATTTGGAATGTTTTTATTAGATTGTTCATAATGTGATAGTTGTACTTTGACATAATTCTGGTCATATTCAATCCTTGAGATGAATACTTATTGGGAAAAACAAAGTCCTTCTCTCCAACTCCTCCAAATTCTCAGGAGATCTCAAACCTTACTTTTTCAGTTGCTATGGATACCTCCAGCAAGGCAACTGATTGGAGGCAACAATAAACTCTGCTCTTTCAAGCCTATGATAAATGTGTCTACAAACTAAAATGCTAAGCTGGTTGTTATTTCTTTTGTGACATCTATGTACACACAAATGGAGCTAAACTCTAACTGATGCATACACGTAGTGATGAGTGTTGCCTGACAGCAGAACAGAGATGAATGTAAACTCCTTCAGTGCAATCCAAAGCCATTGTCATAATCTATCTATCTATCCCAGTAGGGCAAAAGAAATGTGTGAAATCAATTCCGCATTCAATTAAAGAGCAGCCAGCCAAAGCAGGCCTGTTCCAAAGGTGACCCTGAATGGTCCTGCATGGTCCTTAGGGGAGGCCAGGCCTGATTAATAAACGAGTTTCGTCTATATCACCAAACTGTGATATAGTTTAAAACTTTTAACTCGTTCAAAGCTTGTTTGCATCATGGAGTTATGTGCAATGACTGTTTAGCCTAGTACAAAAAAGCTAAGTAGATGTTTTGTAATGCAGTTTCATTAGTTAATGAGAAGACATAACACAAAACAGAAATGTCATATTACAAACACAATAGACTATTTAAATAGTTTAGATTAGAGATGAGTTGAATAGAGAATGGTTAAAAATGTTTTCTGAATATGATGCTCAATAATACAATTTAACAGAATCAATTTATGTTTAATGGTTAAAAAAAAAACATATTTTAGGGACTTTTAGAATTTTATCTAACATTTACCTTCAGTTGTCGTTGAAAAGTTATTGTTTTCTAAATGTATATTCACCTAAGAACAGATTTTTCCAGGAATAAGTTTTTTATTTTTTGATAATGGTGATGACACAGTGGTTGCATCAGACCGGTGGATTTACAGCATGTTTAAAAGTTAAAGGGTCTTAGTTTTTCTGGATTCTCTGGAAATGTCTGCCATGGTTTGAAAAAGTTTGTTACCTGAAAATGAACAGCTTCCATTGGATAACAATATCCAATGGATCTCTTGGCTCTCTTGGATGTTTTTCTCTTTGTTTTATTTGGTGGCCAGTGATTTTTTTTTATTGTTTTACTTTGCAGTTTATATATTACTATGTCCTCCATACAGTTTTTTTTAAAGGAAATTATTATGGCTATGATTGTTGAATGAATTTTCCCTGACCTATTTAATCAATTGACTTTTTGGAAATTTGGGCCTTCTGAGCTTCTGAGAGCAAAAGTCAAAAGCTGTCAGGCTGTTGGTAATTTCCTATTCAATGTTTAGGCCAACTTTTAAAAAAAAATACCTTGCTTGATTTGTATAATCATAATTATAATGAATCAATTATCATGATTTGTTTATCTTTAAAAAAAAAAACTGCAATATCTATAATTCCGGCTACGCATTTGTCTATGGGTGTGTACTCAGATTATTCCATTCCATATACGGTGTATGTTGAATTTAGTAGGGTGTTGCATATCTAGTGCGTTTGGGCTCCCTCTACAGCCCCGTCAGTACAGCGTTCTAATGAAAAAAGAAAAGATAATTATGATGTGGAAAAAAAGCTTGGAAACGTTCAGACATTTATTAAATATAACGTTGCTTTTGAATGAGTGAATTCCCATATATAATGCGCTGGTCAGTTACTATCGAGTTTAACGCCAGACAACATAAAGATAGGAACTTCTGTTTGCTGACAAGTGAATTCTACCCGGCGAAGTGAACGGTTGCACACTTGTCCAGAATTGGAATCGGCACGCCATTGTGGCCAGTAGTTACTTTCACATTACTTCGTGATCATTCTAAGCCAGACTCTCTATCTTACTTATCCCGAGTGTTTTGGTACTAGAACAAAGTGTACCAGAATGGCGACGGACTCGTGGGCACAGGCTGTGGATGAGCAAGAAGCTGCGGCAGAATCGGTAAGCCTCAACAGAAGCAGCGAAAGCTAACCTGTTGTTAGCATGTTTAGAGAACGCGTTGGCCTGGTTGGGCACAACGTACATGAAAGCCAGATTTCCATTTATAACGTGAATAGTTAAGAATATTCATTGACCACATTGGATGTACCTAAAGCTAATGTTGAGGCAGTTTTTCCTCCTGTGTGTGTGTATGTTTTTTTTAAATATAAACTTTAAAACGAAACTACCGGCTTTGCGTCAGGGCTAAGTTGTGTTAGCTCCAGCTTAGATATTTGCGGGGAACATGGAAGGCATTTCACAATAAGCCGACTAGAAGGTAAAATAAGCAAAAGGCTCCCCAATGGCTCTAATTAATAGCAATAAACTGTTTTGTCTTCCCTAAAGATTGGCAGTCTTCAAATAAAAGATAAACCAGAGGAAAATGGTGAGTACAAACTCCTGAATTGAGCACTGTTCTGTAACTTCAGATATAAATAGTGAAAATGTGGGCATCGGATCACTTCTTTTACAGGGACAGTTGCAAACGCTACAAATTCAAGTAGTGCAGCTGGGAAACCTGAAGCCGATGGAGAAAGCAAAACTACAGAAGAAGAAGACGAAGGTGGGTAGCGTGGCATGTTTGTATTCTGGTCTGCACTGTTTTTAAAAGCATGATGTTTGTTTTGTGACTTGAATTTTGAAAAGTCTCCTCATGGTTTTATCAGATAACAAAGCGGCACAATCCCTATTGAATAAGCTGATCCGGAATAATCTTGTTAATACGACAAATCAAGTGGAAGTTCTTCAGAAGGATCCCAACTCTCCGCTTTACTCCGTCAAGTCATTTGAAGAACTGCGTCTGTGAGTGTTTCTTGCTTCTTTGTTTGCTTTACAGCAAACTGTTTTGTCACAGAAAACTTGCCTTTCATTTTGACACCATTTATTGACATGTAACATGCATCCATGTATTCATTACACAGAGCCAGCTCCTTGGCTATCCTCCTTTACAGACTGTTTATTTGCATTCACTCTCACATTCAGACATCTGACAGTATCTCCTGCACACGTTACAGCAGTTAGTCTTATGGAAAACACGCTCACAAAACGCAAGGTGTCTTTGTCTGACTTTTTGTACGAATATAAGGAGACACACACATGCTTTCTCTCACATGCCGTATGTTGACGGGGTGAAAAAAACCACCCGGCAGCCTTTGTTGTTTTGCTGTGAGTTATTGTCTTCATCAAAAAAGACAGAAAATAGAAGCAGCAGATTAAATAAGAAAAGAAGGTGTAACACTTTGCTTAAGGTGTGATTTATAGCCGTTTTCTCCTTTGTGCAGCAAACCACAGCTGCTTCAGGGAGTGTATGCCATGGGGTTTAATCGTCCATCCAAAATCCAAGAAACGGCCTTACCAATGATGCTGGCTGAACCGTAAGTAAAACATTTGTGTTGTCTTGTGGAGGCTTAAAGAAAAGTCTTTTTTTTTTTTTTTTAACATCAGTGAAATCCTATCCAGAATCTAGACTAGCTGCAGAGTAAGATTGACATAAACGACACCATTTACCCCGTATCTGTGGAGCCAGCCCTAGAAATATTTTGACACTCGCCTTCAGTCTGATTTTCTTTCTCCTGAAGTCCACAGAATCTGATCGCTCAGTCTCAGTCGGGAACGGGAAAAACGGCTGCTTTTGTCCTGGCCATGCTCAGCCACGTTGACCCCAACAACCATTATCCTCAGGTATGTTTTTTACTTTTTTTTCTTGTGGGAATCTCACATTTACCTCGATGTAATTAACAGAATCTTTCATATGTTCATATTAACATTGAAATCTGAATATGCAAATGTGACATTTGCGTCTTTGGCAAATGTGACTAAAATGTGATCATTTCCTTTGCCGCAGTGCCTGTGCGTATCGCCCACCTATGAACTGGCACTCCAGACTGGTAAGGTCATCGAGCAGATGGGCAAACATTACCCAGAAGTCAAACTAGTCTACGCCATTAGAGGAAATAAATGTAAGGCTCACTGGTTCTCTATCTTTTCTGCCTCAGATTGATTTGTTCCCTTTCCCTTGTGTGGTCTTGAGAACTGCATCGATATCTTGGGTGTGTTTCAGTGCAGCGGGGCATGAAACTGCAGGAACAGATAGTCATTGGCACACCTGGAACCCTGCTGGACTGGTGCAGTAAATTCAAGTTCATCGAACCCAAGAAGGTGAAGGTGTTCGTGCTGGACGAGGCTGATGTCATGATCGCCACACAGGGTCACCAGGATCAGAGTATCCGAATTCAGAGGTCAGTTGAAACAGACGTACATTTGAAAGGAAAAAACGAAAAAAATGTGTGTGTGACTGTGTGTTGACCGCATTTCCGTTCAATTAAAGCACGGCTAAAATGTAAAATGGTGAGGCATATGTCAGCAGATATTCATCCACTGCAGGATATGAGGCTCCAGTCAGTCAATGGGCTACATCTTAAGCGATTGTGCTTGATTTAATCATTACCAATCAAAACAGAAACAGTGAAATATTTATCAAATTAAGCTTTAAGCATACTCCTGAAATACACTTTTGGAGACGCATTCTTTAGGATAATTTCTTGACTTTAGTTTCACTAGCATGACGTTTAAATGTCCTTTTAATCATTGTTTTGATTAAGCCACAGCAGAACAGGCTTTTGTGCAACTATGGCTGAGCAAGATAGTGTAGTTTTTAAAAAAATCTTTGTGCTTTTATGTAACACACCTACAAGAAACTGTGAAATTCTAAATGAAAAGTTTCTTTCATTTGCATTCCCCCTCTTTGTCATAAAGCAATAACAAAAGACCTGGTGCAACATTTATCTTTAGAAGTCATAAAATGAGTTTGTCATATGATTTCAGCGCATATACTTCTTTTCTGAAAGACCCCCCAGCCTTTAACAGCACCAGCTCCACCCTGCAAGCAAACCCAAGGAAAGGTCAGGGAAAATACAAACTAGGCTTGGGTCATTTACATTAGGAAAAAAACTAAGCTTTTAAAGCACTATGAAAGAATACAGTGACACCATCCTTTAAAAAAAAAAAGTAGCAGCAGGAACTTGCAAACTGCCCTGGTCCTCCAGATATTTTAGACTGTTTTAGAGGTTGATCTTCTTCAAGATAATGACCGTAAATATACTGCATCATGACCTTACTACGGCTCACCATACATTCATACCGAGCTGTACCTCATGGCCAATAACAAATATTCCTCACCTGTCTCTCCACACAGGATGCTCCCTAAAAACTGCCAGATGCTGCTGTTCTCAGCCACGTTTGAAGAGACAGTTTGGAACTTTGCTCAGCGCATTGTGCCCGATCCCAACATCATCAAGTTGAAAAGAGAGGAGGAGACGCTGGACACTATCAAACAGTACTATGTGTTGTGCACCAGTAAGGAGGAGAAGTTCCAGGCCCTGTGTAACATCTACGGAGCCATCACCATCGCTCAGGCCATGATCTTCTGTCATGTGGGTTCATTCGACACTTACTTAAACATTTGTTCTCACTTTAGCTCTTCATTCAGTGACATGAATTTCCAGTTTCCTTATTGGAGTGTACCGTTTAACCCTCTCTGATAAACACCAACTCATTTGTGGAAGATGTGACTATAATTCTGAAGTCTCCCATAGTGCCACAAGACTTTTGTCTTCCTTTTTTTACAAAGAAATCGAGCTTTGTGTGAACATCTTTTTTTGTCTGTTTAAAATGGAGTGTAATATTCATACTGGGCTCTGTGTGAAATCCAGACACGGAGGACTGCAGGCTGGCTGGCTGGGGAGCTGTCCAGAGAAGGCCACCAGGTGGCGCTGCTCAGTGGAGAGATGCAGGTGGAGCAGAGGGCTGCCGTCATCGAGCGCTTCAGAGATGGAAAGGAGAAAGTCCTGGTGACCACCAATGTTTGTGCTCGAGGTAATGGTCCAGAATCAGCGCTGCTTCTGCCTCCTGTTTGGCCCGTTTAAACGCCTATGAATGTATTTTTGCAAACGTGGCAGAGCATTTTCTTCAGATGAATGTGTGTGTGTGTGTGTACACTGGTGGAGGATGTGCTTGCAATATCAGAAAAGGGTCAAGCAATATTTTCTCCAGTTTCCATGTGGGAAAAAGGCTGCAGGTCAGTTAAAGGCTGGTAGGTGGGACTTTGGAAAAGACAAAAACAATTCTTAGACATTTAAAGTAAAGGCACAGGGCCAAATATATCTTATGCACTGGTACACTAATTTACCTGGTGTATGTGAGAATTTTCACATTTCGCCAGCTGTGGCTCAGGAGGAAAGAGCCTCCTATTGGACGGTCATGGGTTTGACCCCATGTTCCTCCAGACCAAATGTCAAAGAGTGATTGGTCACAGATCTACCAGTGCATCCACCAGTGTGAATGACATGTACTGTAAGTGCTCTGAGTGGTCAGTTCCACTGGAGAAGCACTCCATACGAGTCCATTCACCATTTAAAAACCCGCCCTTTCTTTCCCTGCTTGTTTCACGTACAGGCATTGACGTCGAACAAGTTTCCGTGGTGATCAACTTTGACCTGCCAGTCGATAAGGACGGTAACCCTGACAACGAGACGTACCTGCACAGGATTGGACGCACAGGCCGGTTTGGGAAAAGGGGTCTTGCCATCAACATGGTGGACAGCAAGATGAGCATGAACATCCTCAACAGGATCCAAGAGCATTTCAGTAAGTGTTAGCGCCCGCCGGCTGCCACGCTTCTGTGTGCATTCACTCTGTATTCAATTTGAAAAAGGTCAAGGCTTTCAGTAATCTTTGGTTTCTGCCCCTACAGACAAGAAAATTGAAAGACTAGACACAGATGACCTGGATGAAATTGAGAAAATTGCCAGCTAAAGTATGGCTCGATCACCCAGGGGGACACCCACCCAACTTCCCTCTCCCTCCCCCCCCTCCCCCATCGCTCTCCAAGGACTGTACGCTCCTATGGTGTTTTATGCTTTTTAATGGGTTTTTTTAGCTGTCAGAGGAAAGAGCAAAACCACACACACACGCATATAGGCTATGTTTACACGTGGACATGTCTCCTCTCAGACAAGTGTTTTGTAATTCTTTGGAACATACCCCATTTCACTCTTTGTACTCTGAATAAAGTCTCTGAGTTTATTGCTGTGTATTGTGATGCTGTGAGAGCAGCCGTAGTGGACGATTTGGTCAAAACGCTAGCAGATTTACTTCTCAGTGTTGGCTATAGTGGTGCCATGAGACAATAAATAATCTGTAAAGATTTCACAAAGTCTTATAGAAAATCAAGCCCTGCTATTTATGTGCCACAAAGTTTTTAACTGTAAAATAACAAAGCATAATGGAATGTAAACTAACCTACTGCAGTTTTTTTGTTTAGTCACATTTTCCTAAACATCGATACAAAGGGTGAAGTTGGGTATGGTAGTTGTGATTGTTTTCAGATGGTGAGGGTTGGGGTTCAAGGGTCTATGCAAACTTATCAACCTGTGATAGCTGTTGACAAATACTATCAACCTGTATTCAAATGAATTCTGAAATAACCTCATGTCTAGTATCAGGGTGTGTAGTCGAATGCCAAAAAAAAGGCTGCCTAGAGATATTACAGTACTAACTCAAAGACATAGAGATTCTTGGTGTTTGTGTTTAGCCTCTATTCGTTCACATCTCACACGCATGCCATCTCCTCTTTTTCGAAGCCAAAATGGCCATCTTCAGATTGAGCTCAGCACCTCTGCTGAGCGCTCATTAAGTCTTCATTTGTCCCCCCATCAAAGACTTACAACCCTTATTTGATCTAAAAAAATGTAACCGTTGGGGTCAGACCTGATTTATTTGCTTTTGTGTCTTGCTGGTTCACACATTTTCAATCAGGGTCGCCAGTTTGACTTTTGCTGAACTACATTCTTCACCTAGACTGTGCTGTTACAAGATTGTGAGTTAAAAAGATACTCAATGCCTTCCTCAAGTGCATTATAATATATATATACACATATATATATACACACATATTTTATTGATATTCCAAGACATTGGGCTTAATCTTCTGATTAACACTTGAAATTTTGATGATATATTGAATTATGAGAATCTCTAGAATGTGTGAATTATCTTTTTGAAACCAAATGCTGAAATGACATGAGGACCTATGCTAATCAGACTCACTGTGTTGCTCCAACATGGATGTGTGGATTAAAAAAACAAACAAAAAACAGGTACTTGTGTACATATTGGAAATGTTATGTTTTAAGAAAAAAGGTGTGACTGAATTGTGTCACTTCTAAGAAGTGCAAAACATTCCTTTTGAGGTTAAATTTGAACAGATGCAGCACTTCAAATACAGTGAGCCTAAATCAGTTAACCTTACATCGTCTGGGTGACTGTAGGAAATGTATTTATTTCTTCTTACGTGTGACGTCTCACAGTTTTGATCGGTGCAGCGACCGGTCAGTCTGAACCTGCAACAGACCTCATCTCTGCCAGCAGCACAGAGAAGATCGCTGGTGGTCTTATGGACGTTTTATGGAACTCTTGCTGGAAAAATAAAACAAAACATAAACTCATTGAACAGTTGCAGCCAAGTTGGAAGGAAGTGACTGTGTGCTGACAATGTGTAAGAACTGTCTTTGGGATTAGGAAACAGTGTATGCAGTTTGATTAGGACACTCGGATGTATACATTATCACTGAGCGTGTGTGTGCACTTTGTTGATCCATATTGTAATGCCACTGTGTGAGAGCCATGGACACAGCAGTTTTGGCTAAAGAATTACACACTTTAACCCCTTTTGCTCTACATATTAAATGTGAGAGCCTACAAAACCCAGCTCATAATTACATTGACTTACCAAGCTTAAAGCAAACTGTGTTTAGCAGGCAAAGCTAGGTTCAAAGCGTGTGGCCTTCTGTAGCTGAGCTGTGTTCATGGACACAGTTATGTATTCTTAATATGTCGCATTAAAAGAACATGTATATGTTCATTATGCAGTCGGCAGCTTGTTTTTCTTCATGAGGACACTGGGACAACCACTGAATCAAATTAAAGACAAATGACAAAGACAAATCACTTGAATTAAAACAAACATTTTACTGTCATTTTACTGTCGTTTCGTAAGGGACGGTAGAAAATCCAATGCAAGGAGCATCAATCCTTTGAGTTCGCATCTGAGAATGGCTGATGTGGCCGCTGTAAGTCTGAGGAAACAGAAGAGTTAAAGACCTATACTGGGAAATGTTAATTGTGAAGTTTAACTAGCTAAAAATAACTATGTCAAAATGTCAGGGGCTGTGCTGATGAACACATCAGCTAAATAAAACACTGGCATTTGGACCACGAGAGCAAATTTAATGAACAATGAAAAGATGTGAATGGAACAAGTCATTTACAACTTCCAATGAGGCTCCGCCTCCATGATAATTGTGTTCATTGAAGGGTGAAACACTACGGTTCTCGATCCGGTGTTTGGATTTCTGAGAACAAATGTGACCCTTCACCTTACTTTGGTGAAGAAGTCATAGGCATTTGAGTTTTTAGGGTTAGTGCCTTAGTAAAATGTTTAACAAGATCAATGAAACTATTTGAATGGAAAGTCATTCTAGTACGATTAAAAATTCAAACCTGATAAAAAAAGAGTTATAACATGATGATTAGATGTGAAAATCTAAGACACCATTTTTTAAATTTCTAATAGAATTAGAAAAATATAACAAAAATGGACAGGGAGGCATTTTACCATGGCTTAAATCTGATGGCAGCAGCATGGTAGAAAACAGGTTCAAGCTTATTAATGTGGCATTCCCTCTTCTTCTACCAACAGTTGTCTAATTGGGGCTTATGCTGGTCTACACCTTGGACCACATTGACATGTTTACTTCTTTCTTTTGCATGATTGACCTTTACCCTGCTCTGAATCATAATGCGATGAAGACGCTGGAATGGTTTAAGTACTGAAGCACGATGTGTACGAGCAGTGTTTAGCAGACTGCTTTCATATGATAACACTTTCTTTAATAGACAGCATCTCTCATATAAGAACTAATAATGAAATTACTATAGCTTTAAAACAAACTGCTGGTAAAGTGCCATTCCTGAAATATTCTTCCAGATTATTATTACAAATTGGAGCTGTTAAAATGTGGCTAATTGCTATTTGCATATTTTTCATTTAGTCCTCACTCACCTGATTCTTTGTAGTCCACCCTAGTGAGGAAGAGGCCATGAGCTGGAGCAACCAGACCCTGAGGGTAGGCCATGGTGTCCCGAGCCTCCAGTAAGTCTCTGAGCTGGGACACAGACAGCCGCCCCCGGCCTACGGCCACCAGGGCCCCCACCATCCTCCGCACCTACAACACAGAAACAGGCCTCACTGCTCTGAACATACCGCTCATGATTAGGATTTAGACATTCTTTTGAACATCTGTTGGTCAGTTTGATATGAATGGCTCCTGTCTGTGATCCGCAGAGTCAATTTCTCACCAGCAGATGGTGCCATTTACACTGAGCTTTAATACAACTAGAACATGTTTCAAAGGGAGGAAAGAGAAACAAACCTGCTTATACAGGAAAGACCGGCCTGTAAAGGTCAGCTCCCAGAAATGTATCTCTCTGAAAAACAAATAAAACGGTTACAAATATGAGAGCAATCATATAATTTATGATACAGAGTCGATATTTCATTGATTAAATCAGAGCATGAACACTTTAAAGGATGCTATGGAGTTAAAAATGTGATGTTTCAGCCACAACAGCCTTTATGGTTGTATGGTGTTACAGGATTATTCTGACTGTAGATAGAAACTAAACGACAGAATAGAAGAAAAGAGCAGAGCAGAAACATGCACACTGATGTATCTTTAAAAAAAGAAATATATATTTCTATTAAAAAAAACTTGTGTTTTGTGGAAAATAAACATAATTCTCCAGCTGACTAAAATTAGCTGAAATGCCTTTCCTTTCTATCCTACCCATTTGAATATATTATCTCTGACTGAGGGGACAGATTTGGAGGCTGAAGTGACATTTCTGCCAGCAATTAGATACAGAACGTGACCAGATTTGCTTAAATGTCAGATACTGAATATATTCAATTCAGAGCACCCATTTTCTCCCCTTTATATTGGGAAGAAAAATAGAAAGAAGTGGGTCAAATACAAAGTGTTTTCTGGTTAGATCTGATGTGACCAAAAGGAGAAAGTGGAATGTGGCAATTTTTAGAAAGAAAAGAGAAACGTGGACCTAAAGGTCAATTACAGGCTATAACTATGATGTGGATCTCTAAACCTAATATTTCACTTTCAGTTGGTATTCAGGCGCTTCCAATAAAAAGAATATATTATGCTGTAATGCTGTTTTTCAAGACTTTACATTTATATAACCCATATAGCTAAATTTCCCCCACATTTTTCATTATCTCATTAATTTGCCAAGGTGTTCTTTCAAGAGCTGTTCGTTTATGTATGAAAATGAGATCAACTATGTCAACAGGACTTGAAAAAGATAATTAGTTCACTATTTACCAAACTGAAAGGCAGCCAAATAACTCTGACTATGACCCTTATTTTGGGAACTAAAAATTTGTTCAACCTCTTGTTTTTCAATTATTCATCCCAGTTTCTTCTCATTTTTAGCCTTGTTACTTAGAATAGCTGCCCTCATGAAAAAATGAACACACAGCCCAACACCATCTTTCTACAGACAGTGGAGGATGCAATGGGTTTCAATTTATGCCATAAAAGAAGGAGGCTTTAATTCACATATTTCTAACCCTGGTGCTCCCAGCATGTTGGTGCACCACATGTGTTGGGGCTGTGGGAGTGCGTGACATTTCCTCTCGGTCCCACATACAGTCTGTCCGTGTCCATATTGTGCACCATATTTTCAGAGCAAATAATTAATGTCCATGAAAGTGGTATTTGGCATACAGAGCGACCCCCATGGACATGTAATCTCTCAAAGCCCAAATGGCCCTCTCCCCCTCTCCATTCACAATATGGATTACACTCTATCCTCGTTGTTTTAAGTACGTAAACCTGCTTAAAATATAAATCACACACAGCATATTAATTAACACAAACAGTGTCACTATGTATAATCTAACAGGGGGATGTGTCAGCCTGTCAGATGTCATGAATCAGCTGATAACAAAAAGTATTAGAGACTCTCCCTCTGAGCTGGAAAAGATTAGGTAAATGCATAAAAAGGCTTTATCTTTTCTTCATTGTTCACCAGCTGGTCAGTGTGATTTAAGGGTTCAATCAGTTAATTAAAAATTCCACCTTTAGGATAAAAACCTACTTAGAAACTATGAACTTTGTGCAGATCAAGAGTGGGTACAACGATTTTTTTTGTCCACATTAGTGCAGGTATGGAGACTTACATTGTATATAAGTCCCTTAAAGCTATAAAATAGTTCTCAGAGGGCCGTATAGACAGAGTGGCAGCCTTACCCGTGTGCATACTGAGACTGAGGAATGCCAAATTCTAGTATTGTAGGTGTTGGAATGCTAGTTTAGTATCTGTGGGATGATGGAGAGAAGCAAGTTGTTTTACTCCTGCAGGGATAAACATGCTTTTAAAATATGGGAAAAACACTTGAAATAGAGAGCACTTCTTTAGCCAACAAAGAACATAACTGCTGGCAGTTAAAGGACATGGATGGTGAGAGAATCTCCTGATCACAACGGCTGATAGTCAAACTGTGATAAACGCATGTCTCCCTCAGTCACAGGACTGCTATTCTTTAATACCATATAGCCTAAGGTAACTTTTTCAAATGCTGCGTGTAACAAATGCACTTAGACACAAACAAGGTTACAGTTGAAGTTGAATTGGTGTCCTTGTCCCCTCAGTAAGTTAAGTGGTTTGTTTATTCCTTTCTTCATCCAATTCATTATTGTTAGTGAAGCCTCTGATCTTTTCTTTTTTTTTCTGACATTGTTATGATCTGTTTAAAGCAGAGATATAGAGCATTAGATTGGATAAAGAATTGCATATTGATCTCTGTATTCAAGATAATGTAATAGAAATTGATTTCTACATATTTCTTCACTGCAGTAAAGTATTCGGTTCAGAGAGCTCCTGTTGACCAGCATGTCTGCTGAGTTTGGAAATGGAAACAAAGCAATAGGCAAATCTGAGCCAACAATAAAAGTGCAGGCTGATCTTATCTCAGCGCTTGTTGTACTGCCCCCAAGTGGTTTGTGTCTACCTGTGGAAGTGGGGCTGTGCGAAGGAGCCTCCTGGCTGAATGGAAACCACATCCAGCGTCTTCACGGGGCTTTTGAACAGCATGTCAGAGTTCACTGCCCTGAAGCTGCTGAAGTCATGAGTTCCAGCCAGGATGGAAGAGGCCTCACGCATGGTTTTCACATCCAGCTCTCTGAAGAGAGAAAAAAAACAACAACAACCTACACTTAAAAGCAGCAGAGATGCGAGTCTCTCCAAGAGTGTTCACAGGCTTGTCTTGATATTGCCATCTGACCTGGAAGTGACTTGCCTGAGCAGCCAGGGTCAAACAGAAGTGTGAGCATTAAGTACGACGGGTTTCCAGGCCCGCCTGTTCCCATTTCCTGGTAAACTTATATAATATTAAAATTCTGTGGGATGAGAACACGTGAGAGCGCGGCGCGTGTCGACGGTCGGCTCATTTAAGAGGGGCGCCGCTGCTCATATTCTTTACAGCGTCATGCTTGTGTCACTGCTTAAATAGGAGCTGACAGAGGGAGGGATGGAGAGATAGAGCAGGCAGGGAAATTAAGCAGCCTGCTGACTGAGTCATTAATTAAATTCTTAATGTATGAATTTAAATCTTGATGTATAGAAGTAGTCAGTGCTGCCAAGTTTCAGGTCAACCAAGAATTATTTTTTCTTAGACTCTTTACCCACTGCCCGTCTTCTGTTTTTATTTAAACCAAACAAGACCAACAGTATGCAACGGTACAGTATGGTGTACAACCTCGAATTCAAGCATTTGTCGTGGAATTGGGTAAGGACTTGATGTAAAGTACATGGTGGTGAGCATTGGATGGTGGTTTCTTATGTAGAGTTTTATAACAAAAAAACCTACAGCCTCATGGGGCCATTGGTTGTCTACATGCTCATCTGTAATAGTGTTACAGAACCATAAGAAGCCTAGAGAAAAGTAGGGCACATAAGCAAAGAGAAAGAACGTATCAGCAGATTAAACAAAGCACTTATTTAAGAGATTTGAGAACTAGTTTGACACTCAGGTAGGATGTATGTTTTTCTGGTTAAATAAACTTACACTCAGACTGTGATGTAATGATCACCATCCTTATCCCACAGGTACTTGTTTCTTGATGGACACCAAGACTTTCATTGCCAAACCACATTTGTGTGCAAATGGTGACAAAAAGGGGGTTCCTTCTGTTCTAACAACTTCTCTAGTAGTGAGTCCAGACAGGGCATGTTCACAGGACAGAGAAAGGCTTACCCACTTGTGAGTTTGAGTAGTACACTGCCACACAAAGCACATGTCTTACTGAGTAGACAAAGGGGAGGAGGAGAGTAGAAACTTTTTTTCACCCTGACATTTCTGTTGCTTATGCTAGGTTTAGGTGGCACCCCCCATCTGACTCATCCTGACCCTAGTTAAGACAGAAGAATAGCCCAAAATGATGATTGAAATGTCACAAGTGTTGCCGCCAAAGAAAATAAACTTTTTGGGGAGGACTTCATTTCACCATTGATAAATAAAATAGGCTGAAAACAACTTTCATCTATAGGTGAGAATTTTTTCAATTTTACATTTGACTTTTCTGCAGTAGAATGATGACTGAATTTCAGCAACAAGAGTCTGGGAAGGGGGGGGGATCAGACTGATACTGCTTTCAGTGGAAGAGATGGAGCGGCTGTGATGACGAGGGAGCCGCAGATCAAAGAGAGAGCAGAGAGACGCTGAGGCAGGGATGCTCTGGGGTGGTAAGACAAGATGAAGGCAGAACATAAGAGAGGGATGAAGAAAAAGAGACTGCAGAGGGAGAAATTGTGAAAGGGGGAGCCGAAAAAAAGAGGAAACCATTAACAGTAGAGGAATGGATACAGATGGGGAAAAAAGAAACCTGGCTAAAATGCGTGGGTGTTGTTCTACGTGTATATAAGCCCGCGGCTTATCTTGCCCTACTTTTTCCCCCTAAAAAAAAGAAAAAAGGAAAAAAAGTGAAGCGAGAAGAGCAGACAAATGTTCAAACATACTCTCTCTGAAATGCCCCCTCGTTCCAACACCAGCTAAAAGAACATCAACTAAGCTTTAAACCTCTCAACATTTCAAATCTTTACGTATTGCAGTCCACTTGCGCGTAACTCGCTCTAGTTTGTATGTTTTTGGGAGGCCTGAAAAAACACTTTGAAAGTTTCTGAATTGCATTTGGACGTGGCTCGTGTGGGCAGCTTGTGTTTAAAGTTCTTTTGTTTCTGCCAGATTCCCGCATGAGCGTATGGTGTGGAGCAGCGTGGCTTAACTGAGCTTTGGTCTGAGCTTGATTTCTCAAGTACACGTGAGCTGAAAAAAGAGGAATCAGAGGACATGAGCAACATAATTAGTGGGCCGTGTGTCCGCTGGGATCACTTACGTGTTGTGGAGGCTCCAGCACAGATCACGGTCTGTGAGAGGAGACAGAGTGTGGTGGGACGCCCCCAGCGCTATGCGGTAGACGTACGTCCGAGACTGGGCACAGAAACGGGCATGGAAGTTCTCGGGAACACGACGAGCATGGGTGACCCTGAAAAAGAGAAGGGATATGCCTCAAACTATACTTCTTCATTCCATATGCGAAACACATTTGGTGCAACAGTCTTCTGCTCTCCAGCGTGTCACATAAAATATGCAGAAATGCGCTTTTATTATTGAAGTCACTAAATCAAATGAAGCTGACTTTATAGACATAAATCTAAACAGAAGGTCTTTGTTCACGCCGTCCTCTGACAGCGGGCGTACACAAACACAGTTGGTATTAAAACTCTCATTTGCAGAGCCAGAATGAAAATCTATACAAGTGATAGTCCAAAATGCCAACATTGCAGCTTTTGACACAAAGACCCATCTTCTCTCAGAGTCCTAAAAGGCTGCCAAGTGCCCTGAAAAGCTAAGCGCTTATAACAACATAGTTAGCAGCACTCCAGACACACAGGCTCACACTCTTTGATGCGGCTCCAGCAGAAGAAACGCCAAACACTGACTGCATGTCTAAGCGCAAAGAGGAGGCACAGACCCAGGGACACATGAAGCTCTAATGAATCTGGGGGGGGGCTATGAATCAGAGGATTATCAGGATGCTCTGCTGGTGAGCTCTGTTAGTGTGCTGAACTTGTTTTGTTTTAATTAAATAAAAATTGTAGCTTTCCGACATGATGTTGGATGTGCCAGCCGGACACCAACAGACAAACATTGGAAAGAGGCTAATAACTTTAAGTCATGTGTGCAAGAAGTCCAAAAGCCAACCATTAAAAAAAACACAAACAACAAACTTGATCAAATTCAACTTAACTATAGTACAGCAAGTGTCATTGATAAAATGTTAACTGAAAACTGTTTTTACCTGAACCGGATTTCAGATTTATTACTTTCTGAGTTGAATCAGATCATCAGGAAGCTATACTGGTGAGTGGTTTAAAAGTGGTTAAAAAGACAAAAAAGCTCTAAATATACCCAAATATAATTTGAAATGTAATAATTTCATGAAAAAACAATTACGCCTTAGAAATGTTCTCAAATTCCAACAAAGCTGGTGCAAAAGAGCCTAAGACACCTGCTCAGGCAATCAGCTGATCAAAGTGGACTGGATATCTTCTTAGGAGGAAACAATCATACCAAACACAGCACATATGTGAAAGCAAAAGAGCAACCAGATTATGGAAACCATAAGCAACAGCAGTTTGGAAAATCCTTTTCTCCACGTTCGAGTGATGACTCAGAGCCTCCTTAATGCTTTCATCTGGGAACTGAAGGAACAGGGGGCTGCAGCCTGCTGCACTATTGTGATATTGACTGCATAAAGCACATTAGTACTCTTTAGTGTTTGTCTGCACACATTTGTATCTATGCACTGTTCAGTCTGTGTTTTACGGCCGTCTGTTGGGAGCTTGTGAATGCAGGAGATGGCGGTGACATGCTAACATGGATGAATAGATAAAAGGACAATTAAAATGAGGACCCCAAGCAAATGGGTTTTCAATGCAGATGTGTAGGTAAGTCTAAATAAGCGAGTGTGTATGTGTGTGTGTGTGCGCCACTGCACAATCTGAGAAACTAGGTTACGTTTCCGGGGGGAGGGGATTGAGCGTGACACGTGGCAGAGGAAACCCTTGTGTCTAACACGACTTCACCAGCTGCACCAATGTGAAGTGACAGCTTTCAACCGGGCCCAAAAAAACCACGCACCCACATCAAATTTTAATAAGCAGTGTACAAAGCAAAGGCCTCACACTTCTGGGAACGGGGCTTTGTTCAACATGGCACCATTCTGCTATTCAGCAGTTCCCTATTATGGCAAAAGTGGCGCTGATTTGAAGCTAAATGAAATCCATTTTGAAAACAGCACAAAAGGCAACTGAGCACACTTTTTACAGTGTGCAGTCAATGTTTAAATCTTGTCTTGCCTTCCCATCCCTGGAGGCGGCAAACCGAAGCTTTGAGCCAAGAGCCCTATTCTGATTGTTGCTCCAACAGAAAGTTTTTTTTCTGTGCAGTCAAAGGCAAAATGCATTTTTCAAATGACAGATCAAGGGTCAGCACCTCTATCTAATCTAGGAACATGGACTGTTTGTGTCAGAACTCTACAGATGGTTGCATATTAAGGAATTACACAAAAAATTGTATTGTTTTTATAATTATGGATAGATATAATTATTATGCAGCTAGATCAGAGCATCTGTGTGTGTGTGTGTTAATGGATGCTACAGACCAAACAGCCGGGATAATCCTTTTTAACCTTCTCTCTGCAGGTCTAAGGATTAGCAGGATGCTGGGAGATTCCCTTTTCTCTTTCCCTCTTCTCTTATGTTAATCACCTACTTTCCTCACTGAATGCATCATGAGGTCCATGACTCTCACTCCCTGTACAGGATTCTATCTGCACCCTGATCAATTCATATCTACCACATGGGTCTCTCTATTTTTCAGACAAAAAAGAAAATCTATAGACAAAAATCACTTAACATGAATATATACATATAAAAGTAAATATCTCACAGAACTATCTTGTGTCAAGAATGATGATGGCCTTGAAGTGTTCTCAGGTGTCTAACTGATTACAAGAATGAGATAAAGTAAATCATAGGGGGATAAAAAACATCCAATCAAATAGGTTATTTTCCTACATATGCTCTACAGGTGAACTTTGCTCATGGTAAAGCTTTGCACACTGTAACTGCTGAAGCCAATCCTCAGCTCATGTTTTGCTTGCGTTGGACTAAAAATTGTATTTACTATGGAAAATACTGTACAGTGATCTAAAGCCCAAAACCTTCCAGTGTTTTTATCTGGTAGCATCTTCTCTCCAGTATAACTGCCTCATGACTATCAAGTGGAAGATAAGATACTCTTTTAATAAAACTACATCATTGGGAACCAAAGGGAATGTTTGTTCGTTAACTCTTGGGAGGCTGTGTGTCATTTCACATGTGGCTCCGGGTTGATGCGAGAGTTTCAAGCCTACTTAAGTTCATTTTAAGGAGGGGGGGACCACATTCATTTGGGACCATCTCTAGCTTTACAGGAAAAGGTGGCTCTCACGTTCAAGCGGAGCCGTCCTGCCTTTATCTGCAGCAGTGGTTTGGTAATCACCATCTGAAGAAGCCCGACTGACCCGATTTGCTCTGTTCTGAGGTGACTGTTGAGAGCCTGAACAAGAACATCCTCAGAAAACGGTGGCTTGTCGTTCCTGCGCTGCAGGTCAAAGTGAGCGGTGTTGGAGAGGGCGTGCACCCCTGCATCTGTCCTGCTGGACACCGACAGAGAGACTTGATTGACCGGCTTCAGCCTCTGAATAGCTTCCTGTGGGACCAAAGTTGGATATATAAATTCTGAGATTATATGCTGTGGGGGAAAAAACTGTACATTTTTCCCAAATACTATTGTGAGCAGTAACATAATGTCCAAGGATGGCCTGAAAGTTTTCACACCTGCTGTTGCCAACAGCATTGATTTTGTGTTCATGTTTTACTGGTTGTGTCAATAAAGATAAGCTGTGGTTAAATAAATGAATATAGCTTACCTCTAAGTGGTCCTGAACCCCTTTCTTAACCAGTTGGTGTTGAGGCACTTTCACTACACCACTGTAGGAATGACCAAACACAGTAAATTACAGAGAATATAGAACCACAACAAATACATACATGAAAGTGTGATCCCTCAACGTGCTCTGTGACCGACCTGTATTTTGTACCGACGTACTGAAAAAAGATGAGGTAACGTGCCAGGTTGTGCATGCTTTCTCAAAGTCTCAATGATCATATTGCTCGTGCTAATAAGAGTGAGATGATCCAACTAAAAACATGTTACAGATGTAGCTTTGACACGAGACACAGCAAATCTTAACAGAACGCATGTCTCTGTAACAGGGACTTCATTCTAACTCCATATGAGACTACTGACTTTCACAGACCTTTGCAGTCATGCCTTATGAACCGAAAATCTGCGACAGACTCCCTCAGCTGAGACTGTGGCGTATATTTTTGTAGTCCGGAAGTATATAATAAATGTGTATATTCTCCGTTATGTAGCGCTAGGAGCAACAGCTACTTCTCAATTCACAATAAATTTGATGATAACAAACATAGATTTATCCACCTAAACAAACATACATATCACGATAAGTAGCTTGATACATTTATAAAACAAGGCGAGCACGCCCCCAGCTAGCCATGCGAGACAGCGGCTGAAAGCACAACACAAACTACGACCCTTAACCATGTGAAGCAATGGTTAGTGTCTGGTACTGGGCTAAAACGAAACGCCAAATCCACACGTTACTCTTAGGCAGCGCAGTTTTCCCCCTGAAAGTTTGGTGAATAAAACATTACAAATGTGACCCTGTCGGTCGCTTGTTAATGACGTCATATCGTATTAACGAGGGAGTGTCACACTGAACCAATCTGTCTTTTAGTCATCCCAAAGAGAATATATGTTAGAGAAAGGTCAGTTTGATGTGAACAGAATTCACCCAACATGGCAAGATGATGAAGAACTTGAAGAACTATTTTGGGTTGGATCAGAGTACATCAATCAAATTGTAGGGGAACCTAAGTTGTATTCTGTGGGCTTTCCATACTTTTTCTACACAATTGGTTTTAAAGTCCTTTCTCTTGGTGTGGATCATGCTTTCCTCTGAACATTAGTTATTTTTGATGCAACCAGTGTTTTTTTCAAATTGTATTTAAAAAATCCGACTTTCTTATTTCTTATTCACTAGTAGATTATCATTCAACTAGTTATTTTCAGATTTTTTTTCCCCCAGATATTTTTCAGTCTACCTTTTACGACAAACAAACGCGGAAAGCAACACCACCGATATCGTGCTGATTCTATCCTCCTCCCGTGATTCCATTGTCTCTTGATTTGTCACGGGCAAGTTGTGGTTGCTCGGCCTATCTTCCCTCCTCTTTCCGGCCCCCGGCTGCAGCTACGCCTCCTCGGCAGCGGTGGAGTACTGAGTAGCGCTGCCCCGGCTCAGCGCGCATTCTGTGTGACCGTGCCACCAGGAGAGAGGCGACAGACAGCTGCGCGTCGGGGGTTACCAGTCAGCATCCGCACGGTTCCAGCGACATCCCGCCGCAGGGCAATGACATTGGTAGATTGAAGTGGGAATACGCAGGAAAAACGCACAAAATGACGGTGGACTTTGAAGAATGTATAAAAGATTCCCCCAGATTCAGGTAAGGCTGATCCCCTCTGGCACATCACAGCGGTGCGCAAAAAATGACACACCTTCTGTATATATGTATTTCTTTCATTTTTATTTGTGTTTGTTTTCTTTCCCCCCTGAATTCGCCTGCTCGCCTGAGCTCAAGCAATATGTGTAGGCATCACTGGCGAAAATGAAAGGATGCGATTTTTGGTCTGATTCGCACATGTGCAACAATAGGATGGCGTTTGTCTGTCTGTCCATTTCTGTCTTTTTTATGCAATTATTGCTCAGATATTCAGTGATTGCTTGACATTTTATAAATGGTTTTCTTTCTATTTACATTTACGTATTTACATGAAGGTTATCAGTATATCCTGTGTGATAGAGGGATTTTAAATGTTGGTTTTAAATTGCCTCAGTTTATATAAGGGGAGGGATACTCGCTGCTTTTCACAATGAGGATCCATTTTGCTTTATTGCTAAATGAAATGTTTGTTTTTTTAAACCTGTAAAACATGTCTTGATTAACTCAAGGACTCATCATCGTGTGGCTCTGTGTGTGAATGTTGCAGCATGGTTTACAGTTTGGGTGCAGTCCTTTAATTTGAGTCGGTGAGAAGGGCCCGCAGTGGCCCACTGTGTGTCAGGCTGTGCTCTGGGGAGGAGATGCCCTTGCAGCGGCGGCGGCCGTGGTGACCAGGCTGGCAAACAGGCAGCAGGGAGAGGTGTGCATGTTGATTGCAGGGGCCGGGCTCCTTTAACAGGCTCAGATCCAGCTGTTCAGCCCCTGGCCTCCCCGCTGGAGGGTTGTAGCTTTACTCAGTCCACGTGCCAGTCTGGACGCGCTGCTGTGAGAGCTGTCGGGCGTAAAAGAAGAGGAGGTTCTAATGACATAGGCCGGGAATCCCCAGTTTACACACAGCCACGTCAGGTTTGCTGAAAAAGAGCAAACATATTGCATCTTGACATCTTGTTTCTCCATGCCAGCATCTGTTACCTGTTTGCTCTCTGTTCGCTCTGTTTGCCATGGATGCTTCTTCTCCTTTTTTTCACTTTGTACCTCTCGCACAGCTCAACATTTATGTGTGGCGTTGTTGATGGTACAGGCGTACAGTCATTTGACTAAGCAAGCTGACAGGGAGAGGCAGGAGCGAGGCAAGCCACCAGTCTGCTCTTTCAATCCCGTTTCAGCAGTGATAGATGGCTGCGACCGAAGGTCAGGAAGAGAAAAGAGATGCAGCACACGTCCACACTCTTCCCTTTTCCCCTGCTGGTTCACTTTCTCATGATCTCACAAAAAAGTGTAATTTGGAAAAATTCCACATCTGCCAAAGGAATCCCATGTTGCTCTTTCCTTGCTTCAGAGAAAGTGCCTGTGCAATTCCACATTTATAATGTTGGAAAAAAGACGTGACTTCAAATTATGCTATATATTAGGTTAACAATGACAGGACAACAAAAGTTTTCAGCACCAATAAGTCACATTCTGTTTTATTTGTTATCGCAAGCCAACAAGTAAAGAATAGGAACAAGAGACCTTCTACTTAACAGAATTACTTTATCATGGTAGCTCAGACCTTATCTGAAATTAAATGGGCCACGTGCATACAGCATGGGGGACATATTTGAATTTACAAACTCTTTCCTGTAGAAAATGACAATATTATTGCAACCAAATGACAATTTTATATCAGATGACAATTGTTGATCATGCAAAGACTTAAGAAAAAACACACCAATAATCAAAAGCAATGTGAAAACTACATCAATTTGAACATGACTACTGAAACAGTGGTAAGCCCAGTGGTAATCCTGAGAACACTGGACTATCAGACATAGCTGTGAGTGCTTTTTATGCTATGAGCAAAGAGTCTGAAAAGCTTTTAGAAAGTGTAAAAGCTTCATCGTTTTTTTTAGGGGAACTTTTGTTTCAGCATGGTGTAACTGTTGCCTGACGTGGCAAGCCATTTTAAATATGTTATATAGAATTTTCCACTAACCTGGAATTCACTGTGATCTTCCTCATTGTGTCATTCTGGAGAAACAGGAGTTGAAAGAACAGAGAACCTGTCCTGTCTGTCTTCCCACACAGTGAGCCCAAAGGGCTCACACACACACCCTCACTCTGCAGGCCTTAACTTGTACCGGTGGTGTAGTTGTGTATGCATGACTGCAAGTACATGAAAGAATATTTTAGGTGTGCTTTTGCATTCAGAACACCATCTTTGTGTTCAGTCTCTTGTTCCGTTGTTCTGTGTTATAAGCTCTTTTCTGCCCTGCCTTTTATTCGGCGATCATCCGCTGCATTCATTCATACCAAAGCCTTTGATTATGTCCGTGCACCGTTTGCCTTACAGCTGCTGGCGTTAAATGGGTATGATCTAACCTCCTTGAGGCCTATTGCTTTCAGATATTTACCACCTCTGCTTTGGTTTTTGGAGGGAGAGAAGGTTTCGCCAGTGAATAAATCTGTTTCAGTGAACACTGCTGGATGTGTGAGATAACTTCACATAACACTAAAGCTGAAGAGCATTATCAGGTGGCCTCCACACACACACACACACAAATACACACATGCACACAAATGATTGTTATTCACTGAGATATACCAACACAACTTCTTTGTCGAGAATAAACACACTGAGGTGGGAATGTTGTTATATAATCCACTTATATTTAGACTTTTCATTGACCGTGTTCTCGTGATGTAAGAATTAAGACGTATATGGGTGGGCGTGAGCTGTTGCCTAGCAACGTTTGCTTTAAGCAATAGGACTGCGAAGAAAAGGGACAGACAATATAAGAATGATGGAAAGATTGAAGGTGGGTGCTGTGGGAAAAGACACGTCATTCTTCATCTGAAAGAGAAAAATATTGCTCTGATGAAAGTTCCTGTCTGAAGGCATATCTTCTTCACTTTCATGTCAGCATGTAATCTGAGATGATGTGTGTGTGTGTGTTTTCTCCTTTGTTACACAACCACAGCGATCAAGAAAGAAGTGATTTGTGTTGTATTTGAATTTGTGACATCAAAGTTGTTGGTCAGGTGTCAGAGTCCCATGCTGTAGACCAGAGATGATATCCAGCCTACAGTAGTTTCTTATTTGTATTATGGTGTCCGTGCCAGATAAAAACTGTGAACAAAAATAGCTAAATACGCAGTAGCATGGGCTTGTACAAGCAATGGATGGTTTAGTTTATTTCATGCACAGCTGAGAAATACATATCCAAGCTGCACCTGTCGTCCCTGCTCTCTCTGCTTTTTAACCCAGGATTTTTCTCCGTATGGTTCAGCTGCACGCTGTCCTGACATGATTCACTATTCTGAGTGAGACAGATTTGGAGAAGTTCTTTTTTTTATTTTCAAAAATATACCACACTGTTTTCAATTCATTCTGATTAAGCCTTGTGATTAAGCTGTTTTAAAGTATCTGACAATGAAAAACGAGTCGTTATTAGTTCATATAAGTATAACGGAGCATTTGTGCAATTGTGAAATCACTACAGAAGTCTTATATTATGTAGTGTTAGATTGGTAAAGGTGCATGTATATATATTTTATATAAATCAGTGATGACCTTGATTTGGTAAAAGACTTTGTTTTACTTCTCTTATGTTATTTGCTTCATTACTTTAATAGCACATCTCCATTTATTGACAGATTAAAGTGCTTTTTGAAGCTTTAGACATCTGTCTGGCGCCCTGGTTTCTTTTAACTGTCTGGATATTTATTCTCCACCTGCGTCATCACCACCACCTCTAATCCTCGTTCTATTCACATCCTCCCTTTGCTTGGCTGTTTTAGACGATGAGAGCCTTTTGGTCAGCTACTTGTGAAATGTGTTAATATGCTTCCTGTGTGTTAATATGCTGTTTTCAGGAGAAATCTGTGGCCTTGGCAGGAATGGGATCTACCTGTCCAAATGTTTCACTCATGGGGGAGAGAGAGTGACTCATACCTGTCCCTTTCTGTGGAAATACTCTCTCACACAGCTGTTTGCAGTTTGTGCCAACTGGCCACAGTTACATTACTCTGAGTTTAAATGGAATGTCGGAGGATGTCCTTGAATGGCTCAAATGAATTGACAGTAAATTAGAAAATGCATCCGAGTTCTGAACAAGATTAGCTGAATTACATGTAAGCCTCCCAATTCAGCGCCCTTGAAGCATTTCGATCAGTGGCTGTTAACTTTACACCCATTTACGTGCTAATTTCATGATGCTCATTCTTAGCCACATGTAAGATTTGTGCACAGACGGGAGCAAAGCAGCCTCACTGGTCTAGAATCAGTAACCTCTTACACTCCACATATGGAGGTTCGTGTTAAAGCTGCTTTTTTATGGTAAAGATAACCACAGTTGACCACAGTTTCAGTCTTTTCTCCAAAATGCTTAAACTCAGAGCTGAGAGCAGTATTTAAAGGTAGGCACCATGAAATGGTGCAAACACATGCATTTGACCCTAATCTCCAGGGATTTCCTGTGAAGGTATAGAAAGGTCAAACATGATTTAATACCTGATTTAGTTCCGGACACACAGAAGATGAGTTTATGTAGGTTTAATAACCAGAATACATTAGATCAACAAGCATACATTCATGACCAAAGTGTTCTGTAATCTGAGGAGTTTTTCTTATGGTCTAATTCATCTGCATTATGTATGTATTATTTGAAAAAAAATAATCCGACAGTGTATGTTAAATACTAAATAAGGAATTTGTGGTAGGCTACTTTTTTAAGTAATAGTTTCGTATTGTTAAATAGAGGTTCTAAGAGGTTAGAAGGCAGATTACGTTTTTGTAATCCCAGCGTTTCTAATACTTGAAGGGAAAGATTTGAAAACTTTTAAACTCTTTAAAACTGCGAGTATTGCAAAAAAGGCTCTTCAGCCCAGTTCTTGTCCTATATAAACACACCAGACCCCCCCCCCCCCATGAGTTCACGGAAATATTTTCATTCCCACTATGTGTGTAAAAGTAGAGGCCTCAGTAGAGCGCTCCACAGACATTCATCCCATCAAATGGACCA